TTGCTCTGTTGCTCAGGCTGGAGTGCAGTGGTGAGATCTCGGCTCCCTGCAACCTCCGCCTCCTGGGTTCAAGCTATTCCCATGCCTCAGCCTCCCGATGAGCTGGGACTACAGGCGCGCATCACCACACTGGGCTAATTTTTTCTATTTTAGTAAAGACGGGGTTTCATGGCATTGCCCAGGCTGGTCTTCAACTCCTGAGCTCAGACAATCTGCCCACCTTGGCCTTCAAAGTGCCAGGATCATAGGCCTGAGCCGCCATGCCTTGCCAGCAGGAGTTCTTTTTTAAAAAAATTTCACCCTGGAGCAGTGCTTATGGGGGGAAATCACTGGAGTCAGAGGTAGAAGCAGGTGTGGAGCCCCCATTGCCCATTGCCTTTTGCATTCCCGTGAGCATTCAGCATCTAATAGATAGAAGTCAAATGCAGGTAGGCTAAGAAGAAAGATCCAGGAAATGAGGCAGGAGGGTTGCATGAAGTCAGGGAAGGAGACCTGGAGGCCTGAAGGCCTGGAAGTGTAAGAGGAAGCAGGAAGGAATGTGTGGGGCCTGCATTTTCCCTCCAAAGTGTATGCACTTGACCCTGTGCCCTCTTCTGGGTTAGTGTGATAAAGGCTGTGCTGTAGTTGGACCTACAGACAGGAGGCAGTGGAGAGGCTGGATAAGAGGCCACTGCCGGGGTCCTGTGAGAGTGAAAAAGTGGTACATGAAAGAGACAAGAAACTGAATCGCAACACTTAGCAGTGGATTGGTGGGGAGGCCACTGCTGGGAAAAGGAAGGGAGAACTATGGTCCTTACTTGGATGCTCTCTGATAATAATTGGCCCATGAGCCTGGGTCCATTTGCATAGTGGCCTGAAACTCAGATTACCTGGCTTCAGGGAGCCCTGCTGTGAGATGTGTGCAGGTGTTGTCTGGAACAGAACGGGCCTTGACCACCTGCCACAGTGTCTCCCAGAACCAAAGTGGATGACAGATGGGCAGACTCTTCCCAGCATAGCAGTGCCATCCCCAGTAAAGGCAGGATGAGACTGTGTGTGAGGGCTGGGGAGGGGCAGGCATGAAGTGGGGGTTGGAACAGTCAACATTCAGGTGCCAAGGAGAAATGTTACTGTTGCCTTGTCTGAATCTTGCCTAAGCAAAGTGATGTGGAACCCTGAGCAGAAACTTCCAGAGCAAGAGCTTAGAAACCCTGACTTCAGGCCAGGCTCAGTGGTCCACACCTGTAATCCCAGAACTTTGAGAGGCTGAGGTGAGAGGATCACTTGCACCCAGGAGTTTGAGACCAGCCTGGCCAACATAGTGAGACCTGTACAAAAAACAACCAAAATAAACCAGATATAGTGATGCACACTTGTGGGCCCAGCTACTTGAGAAGCTGAGGTGGGACGATCACTTGAGCTCCAGAGATCGAAGCTGGAGTGAGCTGAGATGGTGCCACTGCACTCCAGCCTAGGCATCACAGCGAGATCCTGCCACTAAGAAAAAACAAAGAATCCCTGACTTCAATTCTCACACAGCCTCTCCTTTAAGTGGAGACTTAAAATGTCCTGTTCCCGTGAGAACATCATAGCAAATACATGTTTCCACAATCACTACCAAAAATACATGGTGGTCAGGCTCACTTCCTCTCCTTAACAGACGCACACAGACACAGACAGCTCCCCCCAAAACACACACACACACACACACACACACACACACACACACACACACGAGGACTTTGGCATCTTCCCGTCCAATAGTGTTTCATCTTAACTGAGGCTGAGCCATGAAACAGATGGAAAGCCAAAAGCAGGGAAGGTGGCCTTGGTTCTGTTTAGACTGTCTCAGGATCAGGATGGGCTTGCAAGCTACTCTAGTTTGCAGAGACTCCCCAGAAACCCGCTGCAAAGTAACCTTGTGGGTTGCAGTTGCCATTGAGCTAGGTGGGAGACTTAGCTCAGCGCGGAGGGGGTAGGGCCTATGCCCTGCCTCCCCACGTTTCTGCCCTTGACCTCTCTCCTCCTGTCTCTTCATCAGAGGTGGCCACAGAAGCCCAGCCCGGGACCCCAGGACGACCCTTGCCTGCAGAGACAGCCTCCAGAACGGACACACAAGCGACTCCTCTAGCGGAGAGTCCAGCGGCGGGCCAGGGCCGGGGCCGGGGCCGAGGCTGAGGCGGGGACCCTCGCCGTCGCATGTGCGCTTTGAGGATGAGTCCGCCCGCGAAGCCGAGTGTCGCTACCTGGAGCGGCTGCAGCAGCGCCAGCGCCAGGTGCTGAGCATTGTGCTGCAGGCAGCAGACCAGGGCCCCCTGCGCTCCAAGCCCGACCTCGCCGACTATATCACCGGGTCCCCCCGGCTCCGGGACTCGGGGCAGGGGGCATTCCACCGGCTTGTGGGCAGCCTGGACCACGGGGGCCCTCTGGCAGCGCCCGCACTGGGCAGTGAGAGGAGGTGCCAGGCCTGCGGCAGCTGCATCAGCAACCAGTGGCCCACCCAGGGGAAGGCGCCCCTCGACCCCAGGGCCCTCCAGGAGCCCCAGGCTGCCCGTGGGATGGAGGTGTTGCTGGGTGGCCTGAGCTCCCCACTCCAGCTCCTTCCTGCAGAGCCCAGGCTCCACACAGAATGGATCCGGGAAACGCACATCGGAGACACCGTGTGCCCTGCAGAGGTGCACTCTGCCCTGGACAGCACGGACACCTCAGACAGCTGCAGGACCGAAAGTGAAGAGGTGGGGACCTCTCAGGCCGGCGAGGCGTGTGGACAGACCCGAGGTGGCAGCCCGAGACTGCGACTGAGGGGCTCCAGGCCTCGAGGCCACAGGTGGCCCAAGAAGGCTGACACGGAGCTGCCTTGGGGCCTCCAGGTGCGGCAACACCTGCCTGGGGCTGATGATGTGGAGCTGGGAAATGAGGTGAAGGAGGATAGAGGACACACGGCTGGAGGGACTCTATTTTTGAGAGAAGATGCTGTCCCTAAGCCTCCTGGCCTGGAGTTGAAGCGGGTGTCCCTGGGACCCCAGTGGCAGCCTGGACCAGGGCTGGGAAGTCACCAGTCTCACTCTTTGGATTCTCGGACTCCATGCAGGACAACCTATGCCACCACCTCCCCCATGACGCCTGAATCATCAGGGCCAGGCGGCCAGGCCCAGGTTATAGGAAGCCACGAGTCCCTGGAGATTGTCTCTCCTTCCTCCCTGCAACAGAGCCCTGCAGAGCCTTCTGCCCCGCACCAAGCCCAGCAGCCAACAGCTTCCTTTTGCCCTGAAGGCTGGGTGCCAACCCCTCCCCCTTCAAGGAGAACCACCTCGCCCACATCTCACAGGAAGGCAGCCCTGGCTGGACTGCGCAGGCCCAGTGACCAGGGAGAGCCTGTGGGGATCCCCCGGCCTCCTTCAAGAAGTGCGGTTCTCAGGACCTGTGAGCTGTCCCCATCACAGACCCAGCCCAGCCGCCCTCAGGTCAGGCACCCACTGCTGGCCCTGTCCACCAACAACTGCAACAACAGCGCACCTCGGGGGCTGCAGGAGCCCTATGGGGGAGCCGTCCACGAGGGTAGGGTGGAGAGGGGCCCCCACAGCCGGGAGCCGGAGCCGCCCCTGGAGAACAGCAGAGATGGTAAGGGGCTGCCGCCGGTTCCTGCCCAGCCCAGGCCTGGTGTGGTTCTAGAGCAGTGGCCCAGACCCGACCTGTGACACCCAGGCCTTCAGAGTCATTCCCTTCTATCTCATTAGTCAGATGGCAGTGTCACACACTACCCCGGCAGCCCCTTGCAGCCGCTCTGAGATGTCAGGGTGCTGGTGGTGGCTGGATGGAGAATTCACCACCAGCCTGGAGGCAGACTAAGCAACTCCCTCTCGGGAGAGGCCGAACCACGGGGAAGGCAGTGGAGACTTCCTCTTCCTGCTGGGAACCCCAAGGTGTGGGCAGAAGCTCCAAGCTCCATGGCTGCTGGAGGCCTGGGCTTTAAGGGATTTATTCCCAACAGGGCAGGAAGAGGTAGCAGCTCCAGGATTTACTATCTGCTTAGAGCAGTAGGTGCCCACTAATGACATGGCAGAGGCCCTGCCCCTTCAGCATCATTGTTTCATTTCATTAATTCACTCATTCATTCCTTCAGTATTGGCTGAGCACCTGTTATGTGCCAGGCACTGTACTAGGCACTGTGGCGGATGCATATGTGAATACATCAGCAGGAGTCCTGCCCTTGAGGCATTCTGTGGCCAGGCAGACACACTGTCCAGAGGACCTGGTGACCAGGGAAACAGGGCTCCTAGGTGGTGTGCTCTCTGGTATCAGACCCTCCCTGACCCCTGGACCTGTTGGCAGGCCAGTAGGTTTCAGCAGGCAAGGCTGCTGAAGGGTGTGGGTCTTGCCACTTTGCCTTGGCAGGGGTCCTCACACTATGGGAGAATCCCATAGCTTGGCAGCTCAGGCCTTATCCTCAGTGTTGTGATCCCAGGTGACCAACTCTGCCGCTCACTTTTAGGCAGAGATAACAGGCGCACTGCATACATTTTTGCTTTAATATGCCCATGGCTCTGACAGTCCTAGGGCTGGGATGGCTCAAGAGGGATCCAGGGCTTCACAACAGAGTGGAGGGAGAGAGGGCAGAGAGATGATAGACCTTATTGAAGATGTGGATGCAAAGTCCCCTCTACTGCAGAGGGACACACAGACTCGGTCCCTCTCCCTCCCTTGCTTACAAACTGGCCTGTTTCTGGGCTCCCTCCCTCCCTGTGCTGAGTGGCAGGTTCCTTCTCTGGTGGGCTCTAGGCAGACCACGGGCTTGCCCCTAACCACTTCCTGCAGGGCTTCCTTTCTGAGACCTGCTGACCTCTCTGGGCAGCCTGGGCCTTCACCTCGGAGCTTGGAGCACAGAGAGTGAGGCCCTGGATGAGTCCCTCAATCCCTCAGCCTGCCAGCTTCCTCCTCGGTAAAGTGAGGACAATGACGGAGCCATCTCCTAGGATCCTGTGAGATCACCCCTGGAGAGGATTCCATTCTTTTCCTAGCAAATAAAAGATCTCCAGAAATGATGGCTACTTTAAAGCTCTTAGAAATCATAACTGACAAGACTGTGGGGTTTGTCCCAGGAATACAAAAATTTCCCCTGTTCCCACTATGTCCCTTGATATGTGGAAGGGGCATAGCTTATCACAGTCAACCCTTTTATTTAACACACAGTGACTATTTACTGTGGACCAGATGCTGCACTGGGTGACGAGGTTACCCCAGTCAATAAGACTCAGTCCCTGTCCTTGAATAGTTTCCAGCCTAGAGGATGCTCATGAGGGGTCCTCAGCCCTGGTCATCTAAGAGGCCACCCCATCTTCCCTCACTGCTTCCCGGGTCTCTCCAGTGCTCTTCTGGGACTCTGCCTCTCCAGCTCCTCACACCCTCCCCCTGTTGTTGGAAATGTCCCTTTCCCCAACAGGAGCTGTGGGATGAGCCAGCCTGACTCAGATGGGATGCTGTGCTTGTTTCAGGAGGATCCCAGGGCTTTCCCGGCTCAGCAGATGTTGACACCATCAACTCCGCAGGCATCACCCTCTCCCTGTTCTCACAGGACCCAGAGTTCAGCCAGGAATCAGAGGGAAGCCTGCAGAGGACAGAGTCGGGATCTGGAGGACATGTACTGTCGAAGTGAGTGACAGGAGAAAGAGCCCAGACTGCAGAAGGGGGTGGGAATGGGGGCTCTGGGAGGGGCAGAGACCCCCTGAAGTGGTGGCATGACCCACCGCACTGCTCCTAGTCCTCAGAGGATCCCTAGACTATGAGCAAACCTGGCAGCCCTACCACTCCTCTCCCAGAGCCGTTTAGACTGATGCACCTGATCATTCATTCATGGACCATCCATTGAATGGCCTCTAGCTGCAGATGCTGTGCCAGTTCCTGGGGCAAAGCTAGCAGGGCCCTAACCCTGGGGGAGACCCCAGGATGGGGTTACCTGTCTGAGAGGCTTGCTTCTGCTCCGCGCTTGGAATTAACCAGATGTTGAGGAAACAGAGACCAGCAGTCACATTTCCCTTTTCTCCTTCAACTGGTGGGGGAGCAGGGTCTGAGTCCTGGCCCTGGGGACCTCCTTGGCTTGCCTCAAAACCCTGGTGAGCCTGGAGCTCTGGCCAGGGCCATCTCTCCCCTGTGGCACACTATGCCTGGTGGCCACAGGCAGCTTCAGGCCTGAAGAGGCACCCGGCGCCGGCTCTCTATCTCCGGCCCCATCTGCTCTCTAGAACACCAGAGCTGCATGCCTGGACATCTCCACTAGGGGGTCTGATACACCCCTCAAACCAAAAGCTCAACAACTGCCTCCCCGATGGCCCCTTCCCTGCAAACACATCACCGTCTGCCGGCACAGTGCTCAAGCCCACATCCGGGAGTCTGGGGCTGCTCCCTCTTCCTTCTCTCCCACTGTAGCCCTCTGCGAGTCCTTGCCAGCTCTGGAATCCCATCTACCGCCACTTCTCCTGGCCTGGACTTGTGGCCTTTTTGCTGTACAACTCCAGTAGCCCCTACCTGCTCTCCGCCTTCGCACTCGCCCACACAAGAGTCAAGGGTCGCTTTTTAAAACCTTGGTTAAATGGTGTCATTCTACTGAAAACCCTGCAATGGTTTTTCCCTGCATTTGGAATAGACTTCACACCCTGGCTGTGGCTGGCCTTGCTCTGTGGAATCCACCTTGTCTGCCTGTCTGACCTCATCTCGTCCTGCCTCTTCCCTCTTTCTCATCACGTACGCCCGAGCCTCATGGCCTGGCCCCTTCCTGTTCTGAAACACGCAGAGCTCTTCCTGCCCAGGGCTGCAGTACCAGCTGTTCCCTGCACTGGGAGTACTCACCTCCAGCCGTGGCAGCCCTGGCTCCTTCTTGTCACTTAGCTCTCAGTTTAAAGCTGCTCTTCTCAGAGAGACCTTCCCACCACTCCATTTTAAAGAAATGCCTGGTCAGCCTCTGCTTCACCCACATGGGTCAGGTGTCCTTTGTTTTCCTGGTCTGCTGTTCATAAGCTCCTGAGAGTAAGCACCTTGCTTGTCTTGCATACACACACCCCAGGGCCTAGAAAAGGCTGCCACATACTAGGCCATCAGGAAATATTGAATGAATGGGCTGGGCGCGGTGGCTCATACCTGTAATCCCAGCACTTTGGGAGGACAAGGTGGGTGGATCACTTAAGGTCAGGAGTTTGAGACTATCCTAGCCAACTTGGTGAAACCCCATCTCTATTAAAAATACAAAAATTATCTGAGCATGGTGGCATGCACCTGTAATCCCAGCTACTTGGGAGGCTGAGGTGGGAGAATAGCTTGAGCCTGGAGGTCAAGTCTGCAGTGAGCTGTGATTACACCACTGCACTCCGCCTGGGCAACAGAGTGAGACTCCATCTCAAAAAAGAAAAAACAAATTGAATGAATGATTGTGTGGGCACTTAGCGGAGTGTTATGGGAGGGGGCTTGCCTGCGCTATTCTCACCAAAAGCTACCCAAGCAGAGCATCTGGCAGAAGTCCACTTGGCCTTATTTTGTTTTCTTTTTTTTTTTTTTTTTTGAGATAGGGTCTCACTCTGTTGCCCAGGCTGAGTGCAGTGGTGTAATCACAGCTCACTGCAGCTTTGACCCCCAGGCTCCAGCGATCCTCCTGCCTCTGTCTCTCTGGTAGCTGGGACCACAGACAGGAGCACCCACACCAGGCTTCTACTTGGCCTTTCTTTCTGCAGCCTGGTTGTCAGTTCCTGGCCCCAAATGTGTCAGAGGCATTGGTGCTGGCCCATCTGTGGCCCTTGAGATGGCCCCAGGGCACAGCCGGCCCTCGCCTCCCTCCTGGCCCTCCCCTGCTCCTCACATCCACCCTTGTGTTTCAGAGCATCAGCAGGAGCTGGCACAGGACCCAGCTCCCCCTCGGCTGCCCCTTCGGACCAGAACAAGAAAAGGAGCAGCAGCATCGCCTCCAGCTTGGGGCTGAAGAAACTCTTCTCAGCCCTGAGCCAGAGTTCCCGGCCCAAGCTGGGCAAGTCCCGCAGCTACAGTGTGGAGCAGCTGCAGCCTGCAGCACCCCGCCTGGTGTCACACTCCAGAGCCCCATCGTTACAATCCCTGCACCAGGTGAGTCCAGGGGCCCCAGCCCAGGGAGTGAAGCCAGAGGCAGCGCAGCCACCATCAGAATGAAAGGTTTCCATGGAAGGAGGGAGAGGTGCTGAGGATGCCTCCCAAGGAGCCCATGGTAGAGAGAGGGAAGCTGCTGGCATCCCCACGGTTGACCCATGAGACTCGGGTTCCCCTGGACACAGGGTGGATGGGCAGCATCTCACACTGCTGTTCCCTGCCAGCTGCCCAGCCTGGGCTCACTCTAGACTCCACCCTCTCCCTCAGCTTTGCCACCTCAGCCAAGTCCCGGAGAGTTGACAGCCTGGTGGTCCTGGAACCTTCTCCATGGCCAGAGTGACTCTGAGCCCAGGCACAGATCACTTCCCACGTGGATTCCCTCAACAGCCCCTCGACTGGCCTCCCTGCCATGGTCCTGCATGTGGCTTCTGGAGTGGTCCTTTTGATATGCAAATCTGGCCATGCCGCCCCCTTGCTGAACATCTGTCATTGGTTCCTTATCACCTTCAAGATAAAGCGCAGACCACTCAGCGTGGCCAGAGGGTTTCTGGAATCTGTCTGCTTTCATCCCTCCTCATTCTTTTAACATGCTTGACCGCAGTTGCAGTTGACCGTCTTCCAGTTCTGTCCACACATCACTCACTGTCTGACTTTGAACCGTCAGCTGGGCTCTTTCTCCCACCTTCCCCACCTGGGACCGCCTGCTCCTCTGTCCCTGTCCCTACCACAGGCACGCACCCCTCAGGGAGCCGCTTCCAACCCTGTCTCAGGCCAAACTGGGCCTCCCTCCTTTGTGGAACTTGAGGCGTCATGTTGAGTTGAGTTTTGTCTCTCAGCCCTCACTGGAGTGTGTTCTTGGAGGGAACACTGCAGTGAGTGGGTAGGAAGTGCAGGGCAGCCGGCTCAGGCTCTCCCTCCCAGTGCACTGGACACCCCTTCTGTTCCAGGGAGTTCCAGCTAGTCTGTTTCTCCTAATTCTCTGCCCTGCTCCCCTGGGCAGAGTGAAGCAGATGGGAGTGGTTTGGGTCACTGGCGCCTTTCATTTCCAAGGCTGCAGGCGGGAAGAGGATGTGGACTGAATGAAGGTCCCATTGACTGTCTTCCACCAAAGACACTTGGAGGCACGTGGCCGGTGCTCAACAAATATTTGCGGGTTGAATTAATAGAAGGCAAAGAAAGAGCGGCAGAGATTAAAGCTGGGGGGAATCAGCCGTGGTGACTTGTGCTCCAGGAACTCACCGTTCTCATGAAGTTAGATTTGTCCAAAACGTATCTGAGCCATGGCATCCAGATTATTGTCATCAGGACTTCTATCTCTGTAAACCCCTCAAGGGAAACACCACCCCTGTCAATTTCATAGAGAGCCTGGAACCTTTTCCATGGCCCGAGTGACTCTGAACCCAGGCAGAGATCGCTTCCCACGTGGATTCCCTCAGCAGCCCCTTGATAGGCAATCTGAGCTGAGTGGACAGAGATAGGAAATAGACTGGACAAGAAGGAGTAGGAGGCAGAGCAGGGAGGATGAGCAGCAGAGAGACATTTTCAAAAATTAAAAAAGAAATTTTCAAGAAAATAAAAAAGAAGATAAAGGAAGAATCTGTCTCTCCCCGCAGTATTTGTGACATTCTTCAGGTTAAAATACTTGCTGTTAGCGTGTGGTGCTGCCAAGAGTGTGTTTGCTGGGAGGGTTAGTTTTTTTTGTTTTTTGTTTGTTTGTTAAGATGGAGTCTCGCTCTGTTGCCCAGGCTGGAGTGCAGTGGTGCAATCTCTGCTCACTGCAACCTCAACCTCCCAGGTTCGAGCAATTTTCCTGCCTCAGACTCCTGAGTAGCTGAGATTACAGGTGCACGCCACCACACCCAGCTAATTTTTGTATTTTTAGAAGAGAGGGGGTTTCACCATGTTGGATAGGCTGGTCTCAAACTCCTGACCTCAGGTGATCTGCCTGCCTTGGCCTCCCAAAGTGCTGGGATTACAGGCGAGAGCCACTGTGCCCAGCCGTATGTATACCACATTTTCTTTATCCACTTGTTGGTTGATGGGCACTTAGGTTGGTTCCATATCTTTGCAATTGCAAATTGTGCTGCTATATACATGTGCACACACCCTGCAGCACAATTTGCAATTGCAAAGATATGGAACCAAATTTTTTCTTTATAATGACTTCTTTTCCTTTAGTAGATACTCAGTAGTGGGACTGTAGGATTGAATGGTAGATCTTTTTTTTTTTACACAGGTCTTGCTCTGTCACTCAGGCTGGAGTGCAGCAGGTGATCTCGGCTCACTGCAACTTCCGCCTCCTGGGTTCCAGTGATTCTCATGCTTCAGCCTCCTGAGTAGCTGGGATTATAGGCACCAGCCACCATGCCTGGCTAATTTTTGTATTTTTGGTAGAGATGGGGTTTCGCCGTGTTGGCCAGGCTGGTCTCAAACTCCTGACCTCAGGTGATCCACCTGCCTTGGTCTCCCAAAGTATTGGGATTACAGGTGTGAAACACCGTGCCCAGCCGGAGGTTTGCTTTTATTTTGCCCTGCCATGGCTCCTGCCCACCCTGGCTGCTCCCATGTTCTCTAGCGGAATGGGGCCCTTCCCCGTGAGCCTTTGAGCCTGCATCTAGAAGGCTCTCTTTCCTTCTCCTTATCCCCCTTCTCCCTAGGAAACTAGCTTCAGGGCAGAGTTCAACATGATCTCCCAGGAAGCCTTCTTGAACTCAGGCACGAGGTCAGGCCCCCTCTGAAGCTTCTTGATTCCGCGCCTGCCTTCTTTAGAGCACTCCTTAGTCTATTCAGGCTGGTATAACAAAATCCCTGAAGCTGGTAGCTTTCAGACAACAGAGATTTATTTCTCACAGTTCTCTGGTGGCTGGAAGTCCAAGATCAAGTCTCTGGCAGATTTGGCGTCTGGTGAGGCCCAGCTTCTCCATAGGTGGCTTTCTTTTCACTGTAACCTCATGTAGTGAGGGCACTAATCCCATTCCTGAGCACTCTGCCCACATGACCTAATCACCCTCAAAAGCCCCACCCTTGGTGATTAGGTTTCAACCTGTGACTCTGTGGAGGGATACAGACATTCAGACCACAGCAGCAAGGATTCCAAATGTAACCAATAATGTGGGTGATATTTGTTTCAAAGACTGCTTTTCCCTGCTTCAGCCTCCCTAGCCCCTTCATTTCTCAGAATGAAGGAGGGAGGGAAGAGGATGCAGGCTGAATGGAAGCCCCACTGATTATCTCCCCGGCCTTCAGAATTGCTTCCTCATTGGGTCATTTTCTAGAACACAGTTCTGATCTTATCACTTGTATTAGCATCACTCAGTAGCTCCTTACAGGGCACATCAGGACCTTCCAGGCCTGGCCCCACGGCTCTAGGCCACGACTTGTATGGCCTGCCACTCAGACCATGCATACGCTCTAGAATGACCGCGCTTTCTCACATCTCTCCATGCCTTGGATAAACCATTTTCCCCTGATGGGTACACTCTTACCTCTCTCCTTGTCTGGACAGCTCTTGTTTCAAGTGTCAGCGCCTTCAGTGTCCCAAACCCCCCGAGCCAGAGTCCCTCTCCACCACACTACACATCATCTGTCTTTCTTTTTTTTTTTTTTTTTTTTTTTTGAGATGAGTCTGGCTCTGTCGCCCAAGCTGGAGCGCAGTGATGCGATCTCAGCTCACTGCAATCTCTGCCTTCCAGGCTCAAGTCACTCTCCTGCCTCAGCTTCCCAAGTAACTGGGATTACAGTTGCTCGCCACCACACCTGGCTACTTTTTGTAATTTTAGTAGAGACGGGGTTTCACCATGTTGGCCAGGCTGGTCTCGAACTCCTGATCTCAGGTGATCCAACCGCCTCAGCCTCCCAGAGTGCTGGGACTACAGGTGTGAGCCACTGTGCCCGGCACACACTATCTCCTTTTAATGTGCACTGGAGCCTTTTAACTTACCTGTGCTCAGCCCTGCCCCCATCACTTTGTGAGCGCCTTGAAGGATCTCTTGTCTAACTTTTTATCCACAATATTTTAAGGTACAAAATTCAATTTACATTTTTGAATGAAAGCAATCACAAAAGACATAATAAAGAATCACAAAACAATATCTCAAATTTTAACTCTAAAGTGGTATTACTCTATAACAAACTTACTTTCATTTCTTCCTTAATGAGTACATTAGATTTTCTTAATCGATGAGGTGATTAGTATAGCACTACAGTTGTTATTTCAGCTAGAAAACAAAACGAAAAATCCCTTGACTCCCCAGACGGCCTAGGTAGACCCATCTCCTTGAGTAAAGTCATGGCGGCTCCCGTGGAATTCCTGGAAGCAATGATAAAAGCTTGTGCTGTCACTTTCCTACAGGGCCCTCAGGTTCATGGTGGGGGCCAAGTCCTCTGTCAGCGCCACCCTGGTGGCTTTTCTCACCTGCAATATTGGCCCTTTCCCATCAGGTGTCACCCTGTCACCAGCGTCAGAAAGCTGCCTCTTTCCAGAACCTCCATTCTCTGCTGAGCGGCAAGGGGGACCGGTCCAGCCTCTACCTGGTAGCGGGGCCAGGGGACCACAGTGCAGCTGGCAGGTAAGAGTGGGCACACACGCTTTGGAGGACAAACTCATTAGAGACTGGCCAGTGGGGCCAAAAGCCTCACTCCTCCCTGCCTCAGTGTCAGGCCTCTGAGCAGGGTCCCTTGAGAAAGCAAGTGCTCCCTCCGGCACATCTGATGTGTGGAGACAAGGCTGCCACCAGAGTCTCAGCACCTCAGTGCCCTGCACCGACCCTCAGTGAATGGGGCTCTGAGAAGGCCTGGAGTTGCTGGATCAGGTGGAGTTGGCTGGTTTGATTCCACTGTCCCTCTGATGTCCAACAACATCTTGAAATCAGAATGTTTAGAGAGTGTTCTTAGCCCAGCTAAAGATCCAAATAAACACATAGAGACAGAGACCCCCAAAGAGGCCCATGATCCATGACTCGCTTGGATAAAGCCCACCCTGTCTGGTGAGGCCCTGCAGGCGGGCTGCTCTTCCCTAGAGCTTCATGTGTATGTCCTTCAGGGTGTATGTCAGCTCCTGGAAATGTGACACAAAATTATGCCTTTTCTCAGATTCGTACAGAGGTCTCTGTATCCCACCAAATTTGAAACCACTGCTTTGGGAGGGTGGGCTTTCTAGTTCCAAGCAGGCCTTGCACAGCGGTGGAAACCCACCAGTTCTGGCCCTAGCAGGCTCTTTTTGCTGGTTGAGGTCAGCGGAACCCCAGTCTCCTATGCCAGACTCTTAGTCTGTGAGGTATCAGTCATCTGTAAGCCAGGGAGGAGCTGCGCCCAGTGCCCCATGCTTTTTGCCCTCATTGTGTCTCTGGTTCCCTCATAGGCCAGCCAGGGCTTCACCACGGCGTGCCCTCAGTGTGGAGGATGTGGGTGCTCCCAGCCTGGCTCGCACAGTGGGCCGCCTGGTGGAGGTGTTCCCAGACGGCACCAGCCAGCTACAGCTGCAGCGCTCCCCGGAGGGCACTTTTGGCTTCTGCGTGGCCTCTGGGAATGGGCGCCCCGACTCAGGTATGCCCTCTCCCCTTCCTCAGCCCCATGGCGCGGGGGGCGGCCTTAGCAAACTGCAGCAGGGCCTTCTGGCTGTGGTCAGAGGCTTTTCTGGTCATTGGCTGAGCCAGGGAGCTCTGGGAATTCAGAAAGCCTCTGACCACAGGACTAGGCTTCTCCCCGCAGCGGCTCTCTCTGAATTGTCTGGGGCTGCCCAGGAGTCTGCTCCTGCAGAGCCTTTGCCCCGGGTGCCTGCAGCTGAGGAAAAGCTGCAGCTGGTGGGGAGTGTGCAGGACAACGGAGCGCTGGCAGGTTTGACTCCACTGTCCCCTTGCTGTCTGATGACATCTTGAAATTAGGGTCTTTGGCCACGAGAGGTGGCTCACACCTGTAATCCGCACTTTTGGAGGCCGAGGCAGGCAGATCACCTGGGGTCAGGAGTTTGAGACCAGCCTGGCCAATACGGTGAAACCCAGTCTCTACTAAAAGTACAAAATTAGCCAGGCCCATGGTGGTGCATGCCTGTAATACCAGCTACTCTGGAGGCTGAGGCAGGAGAATCACTTGAATCCAGGAAGTGGAGGTTGCAGTGAGCCGAGATCTCACCATTGCACTCCAGCCTGGGCAACAAGAGCAAAACGCTGTCTCAAACAAAAAAGAAAGAAAGAAATTAGAATCTTGAAGGCCATCTTTGCAGAGGAGAGCCAGAGAGAAACTGTCTGTGCCTGCCGTTCTCAGCAGTCCCTTTGATGTGGCTGCTATGTTGAAATGATTCCTTTCCTCCGGCTGCGGAGTGTGTCTGGACACATACTGCCTGTCTGTCTCTGCACCCCGTTCCTCCCTCAGGCCTGTGCCCGAGGATTCTGTTCAGATGAATCCTGGCTGCAGGCCTCTGGCTGGGGTGTGCTCTGGGTCTCGATTCAACCCAGGCAAGGGCAGGGAGGAGTCCTGGAGATCGTTCTGCACTCTGGCCAGTTCTCAGTTCCGCCCCATCCATGAGTCTTTCAGGGCAATGTGACGTGCCAAGGCCCACACTCAAGGTCTGTGGTCCAGAATGCATCTCAGGGCAAGGGCCCATGAAAGACTCCCCAGAGGAGCAGGGAAGGAAGACAAGTATGCAGGGGCGGGGGAAGGGGAGGGGAAGGAAGGAAAGAGAAAGGGAGAGACAGATACAGAAAGGCACGTGCAGAAGCCTGCTACAGCTGGGCTCTGCTGATGGGGGGTTGAGTCCCAGGCTTTGATCTCCTAGGTCAATGTTGTTTAGCCTGCAAAAAAATCTGCCTGCTGCCACGTTTGCAGACTGTAGCATGAGTTCTCATGTCTGTTCCATCATTCATTGTTACAGCAAATATGTACTAAGCACCTACTATGTGTTATAGAAACGGGGGATACAGCAGTAAATGCAACAGACCAAATCCCTGTCCTCATGAATATACTACCCAGTGAGCAGCTAGCCCATATCTATAAAACGTGTACTCTTGTTATGTGTAATGTGCTACGTATGTCAGATGGTGAAAATAAAGTTCTGAGAAACACACAGATAAAGCAGGTGTGGCAGATGCTGGTGCAGACAGGAGTGTGGGGAGGCTTTTCTGAGAAGATGATACTTAAGCAGGGGCGTGGATGGGGCGAGGGAGGAGCCCCGTGGGTATCTGCGGGAAGAGTATTCTGGCAGATGGAATAGCAAGTGCAAAGCCCTGGTGGAGGGGTGGCTTGGCCTGTGAGGACTGCAAGGAGGCCAGGCTGGACAGTGCAGAGAGGGCGAGGGGTCAGGAGGGGCAGAGCTTGGAAAGACAAGGCTGTGTCACTGTAAGGGGCTTTGGCTTTCTGCCAAGTGAAATGGGAGCCACTAGAGGCTTAGAGCGGAGCACTGAGACCCTCTGATGTACACTTTTAGCAGGGTGAGAATATACCCCAGTGGGACACAGGTGGAGCCAGGGAGCCCCATGTTAAAGCTGTTACAGCAGTTCAGGACAGAGATGGCGGTGCTTGAGCTGGGAATGGCTGTGGAGATTGGGGAGAGAGGTGAGGAGCTGGACTCTGGTTGATTTGACTATTTGCTGATGAGCTAGACATGCGTGTGAGGGGAAGAGAGGACAGGTCTCTCCCCACTCCAGAGCTCAGGGAGGTAAAACATCTGTCCTCACAGGCCTTCCCATAGCCTCCTCTCCTGTTAGGCGAGGAGGACAGGCCCCCTGGACAGGCGGCGTAGAGGCAGAGGTGGACAACGCAGCATGTTTGTGCTCCAGCACCTCTGCTGGCTGTGTGACCTTGAGCAGGCGATATCCCTGCTGAGCCTCAGTTCCCTAATCTGTGAAATGAGGATGACAAAACCTACCTAGAAGAGTCATAAGGAGCATTCAAGAAGGCACACAGGAGAAAGGGCCTCGCATTTTCTCCCCTTGCCTTCCCTTCAGAAAGAAAAAGTCTGTTTGGGGAAGAGAACCCCAGACAGGGACCAGGGTGATCCGCACTCACCTGTCAATGTGAGTGCACAACGGGGCTTATACCCGGCCCCCAACTCACCCCAGAGTCCCGTTTGGCTCCCTTGTAGGCAGTGGGAGCCCCTCCCTGTCACCTGTCAGGGAGGTCTGATGGGCAGGGGTCTCTGGTGACCCAGGGCCCTTGCCCCCTCGCTGGGTTGGTGCCAGCTTTCCCTGTCCTGCCCAGGAACTCCCTGCTCCTGCTGTCATCGTATTAGCTTGCTGGCATTCACATCCGACTCTATATGAGCCTGTGAGAACAGCAGGCTTTGCCTTCTGTTTCTAATTGGATACAACATAAAGATCACACATCCTCAACAAAGGCCATTTCCAGCAGACAATAAATGCCTACGACAGCAGGCTCTCTGTCATATTTGTGTCACGACTTTCAGTTGTGAAATCTACCCGAGTCTCCCCAAAATGGCAGGAGTGACGTCAGTGCCTGGCCTGGCTCTGGCTGCATTCTTTCAGGGTTTATCATTATTCCCCGCCTGCAACAACCGTGGTACATCAGACGCTTCTCTGGGTTCACCCCAGGGGCCCCTTCTTACCTGCCCCTCCCCGTGCCACCAGCCCGTAAACAGAAGAGGGCAAGCAGTGAAAGGCAGGGCGGAGGGAAAACGCCCTGTGCAGCCAGGATGGCAGACGTACTGTCAGGGGCGACAGTCCAGCAGGAAAGCCTCAGCTTGGCCAAGAAGCAACAACAACAAAAGGGATTCCACACCTCAGCCCAGGGAGGGGGAATGTATGCAAAGATTAGATTTGCTAAATTCAGAGCCACAAACCTTCAGGTACCTCAGTGAGGGTGGAGGTGTCAGTGCTTTTTCAAACCCACACTTCAGAGGCAGGCTTTAAAATGCCTGACTTCTGTCAGGGCCAGAGGCTGGGCTGCCCAAAGCTCCTACAGGGCTGGGGGGACCTGAGAGACAGCTTTCCACTAGTCCAAGATGCGGTGAGCAGTGTCAAGCCAGAGACTGAGGTACAGACCTGCTGCCCTTTTGGGCCCCCGATAAGAACCTGATTCGAGAAGGAAGTGGAGACAGTAACGTGTGGGCAGTGGCCTCATGTTTTTGAAATGCAGAGTGAGCCGAGCTGGGCTGGGAAAAGCGAGGGTGCCAGGGCTGCACTGAGTGGCCTGGTGAATTCTGGCGGCCGCGCCAGGTGTGTGCCCTGCAGTCCTGCAGCAAACTTGGCTTGTGTCTCAGCCTGTGTGTGCACCCGGCACAGAGCATGGGCATCAGGGGCTCCAGCCTGCGCTGGGAGAGCTGGCACCTTACTTTCTCTCCCAGGTGGGAGCAGCCGGAGGAGAATTTGAAAATGTTTCCAGCCGTGGTTGAGGCCAGGGGCGGCCTCCTCAGCTGGATGCTTCCCAGAGAGGCCAGGGGAGCTAACCCAGCCAGCCCGAGCCCCCCAGGGCCTGCCCCACTGATGGGGCTCCCTGAGAGCCGGAGCCTGGGAAAGAAGCAGGGAAGCTGGTTCCCCAAGGCTGGCTCTTGGCACCTCCTAGACCCAGGCAGGCCCTCTTTGGGGTGGGCAGGAGGGGCACGTGCAGAAGAGGAGTGGCGGTGCTTGGGCTGGGAATGACTGTGGAGATGGGAGAGGGGAGAGGGGTTCGATTCTGGTTGATTTGTTTGCTGATGAGCTGGACATGCGTGTGAGGGGAAGAGAGGACAGGTCTCTCCCCACTCTGGAGCTCAGGAAGGCAAAACGTCTGTCCTCAAAGGCCTTCCCGTAGCTCCTCTCCTGTTAGGCAAGCAGGGCAGGACCCCTGGACAGGCGGCGTGGGGGCAGGGGCCTCCACTGGAGGTGGGGCCACCGGAGCTTTAAAATACGTGGCTAGAATTTTTTGCTCAGATGCTTCCCCATCCCAACTGAGGAACCATGTCTGAGTAAGACTGAGGCCAGGGTCAGTCCTTGGCAAGAGTGCAGCAGACCAGGCTTGGATGTAGCTCAGCCACTTTCGCTCTTCTGAGGATAACCTTCCCACCACCCCGGCCTTCATGCTGGGCCTGGGCGACCTGAAGGCAGCAACTGGATCACAGTGCCAGGCACCGAGTAGGTATGGTTCTTAATTCTTAAAAAGTATTTTCCTCCCTATTCTATAAGAAAAGCTCATCTCAGAAAAAGATCAGCTCACTCCCAGTCAGGTATAAATGAGTAACAGCAGCTTGGTACATTATTTGCACTAGGAGCATTTCCACGTTAAAAGCGGAGTCAGCGGAATGGAGTTAGACATGGAAGAGGGGCAGTGTATCTGTGCCTAAAGCCAGTTGTGGTTGTGAGGTGGAACAATGGGTGTGTGTGTGTGTGTGTGTGTGTGTGTGTGTGTGTGTGTTTGCGCACAGAAGTACCCTGTATAAGCACCACTTCCCTGAGCCACACAAACAGCCCCTCACTGACAACATCAGCATTCCAGACATGCACATCTTCAATTTGGGTGTTAATGTGAAATTCTCCCGTTTTCCTTTGCAGGGATCTACGTGCAGGAGATGGCTGACATGAGCACGGCCAAGCTGTATTCGGGGCTGCTGGGGGTGGGCGACGAGATCCTGGAGGTCAACGGGGCCAAGGTGGCAGGGCTGGGCTTGGCTCACATTAAGGAGCTGCTGGCCCACTCAGAGAGCTTGTCAATCCGTGTCCTGAGGCAGAGACCTGTACCACGGTGACCCAGAAGTGCCACTGCCCTCACTGCCACCGCCTCGGAAGCCCTGAGCCACTGAGGGTGGTTGGCTGGGAACATGCTGCCAAGCTGCCCTGTGCCGGAAACATGGATCCTGCTGGCGTCTAACCCCTTGCGTTGTGGCAGGGCTTCTGCGATGGACTGCCTTAGGGAGAGGCAAGGAGCCTGTTTGCATATGTGTTTTAAGGACATTCATGCAGAGCTAGAGAAAAAAAAAATGGGTCTCCTTCCATGTCTAAGGGGGTGTCAACATTGACTTGTACCTTTGTTGGTGGGGGGCGGGGGGAGAGAGATTCAGTGGACCCTTTGGTTGCTGCCTGAGAGCCGGCCCCGCCTCCTGGTCCCACTCCCCATCAAAGGCTACCCCAGCCTCCAACACTGTGGAACCAAAGAAAGCTCATGTCCATGTTGGCCTTGACCCTCCCCTTTTTCATCTATGTTCTTCCCTACTCCCATTCACTGCCTTTGCCCTTTATCCAGAAATGGGCAGTGTCCTGGAGTACCAGCCTTACAGCTATTGACTGTATATGCCCAACCAAAATCAGAACGTGTGGTCTGACAGTTTTATGCCCTTTCTGGGTATGGGAACACCTGGGAGATGTTATCTGGTAGCCAGAATATTAAACATTTCTAGGAAATTTTTTTGATATAAAGTTGAAAAAAAAAAATGAAGACCAATTTCAGGACATGCTACTGTAGTAGCCAGGATCCAGCCAGTGGGACCGGCCAGACCAGCCCCAAGCTGCCCACCTGCTGCCTCTGCCCAGATGGAGGCAGGAGTCGCTGCAGCCGGGCCTGTGCGGCCTCGTCATAGTTCTCCTGTCCAGCTTGGAGACAGGGCTGCATCGGTGCCTGGCCATCACACAGCTGTACACTTTCTGCCCAGACCTCCTGGCAGTGCTGTCAGTGGGCAGGTGGGTGGCTGTGGAGGGCGGGGATGGGCCATCTGCCTGGGCCTCAGCACTGCCTGGACGGCTCCTCTTCGGGAGTGGATGGCCATGTATCAGTCTTAACTTATTAAAACGCAAGGCTGAAGCTTCTCCCACTCTGAGTTGCTAAATTCTGGGCTGGATATTCATGTGACCTTCACTAGCCATGGGCAGGACCAGGGAGTAGGGAAGGGCACGGGTGCTGGTGGTGGACATGCCAGAGGAAAGGCTGGGAGGCCCCGGGTTAGGGTGACGGCAGGGTAGATGCGGAAGCCTCCAGACCATCCTTTAGAGGAAGAGAAGCCCTGGGCAAGGTTTGTCATCAGGAGAGAAGGAGCCAAGGGGCCTTGGCTGGGCACAACTGAGGAGCAGAATAGGAAGTCCAGAGCTGTTTTAGAACTCGCCAGGGTGCCAGCTGTGGCTAGGAAAACAAATCCTGGAAACAAGAAACCCAACCTTCAGCAGAATCGGGTTTACCTGAGTGTCAGGGCAGCTTTATCGGGCAAGGGCACTGAAGCGGGCCTGTGGCCCAGAAAGAAGGTGGGGGGGGGGGGGAGGCAGTCCTGTGCAGGGTTTGGGGTGTGTTCCCCTGCCCAGGGCTTTTGCAGCAGGAGCCAGGTAGAACCCTGTCTTCATGATGCCCATCCAGGGAGAGGGAGGGCCTGAGCCCCATGGCTCACAGAATGGGGTATGGGTATGAAGGAGGAATGCAGGGGCTCTGGCAGGTGGGCAGAGGGGCCAGAAAAACAAGTGCTTGGGGCTTCAGGCTGTGAGAGAGCACCGGCATACCCCAAAGTGTAGAAATGACCCCATAGCAAGAAACTACAAGTGTGGGGAAACCCTGGCTCCTCCTATACCACAATTCCTAGCCTTAAGATCACAAAAATGAGACATTTCATGTTGAGAAAAGCTCCTGGGGCCAAAGACAGCTCCGTTTTTCTCTGTATGGCCAGGACAACTTGCCTTCCCAGCTGGGAGGAGATGGAAGGGGTGCACTGGGCCTGGGAGGACGATGGGCAAAGGCCTCAGGCGTATCACCCCCGGGCTGGTGACATTCTTAGTTCTTAAATAGTCTTGCCAGGTGTGTCCTGCTCATTGTCTTTGGTTTACATAGATGGGGAACAAAGTTCAGCAGCAGTGATAGGGCATCCAATCCTGCCCCTCTGACTTGGGGCCCACAAGTCAGAGGGGCCCACTTTTCCCATTGAGCTGCCTCCCCATACCACAAAAGGCTTGGTGCTAGGGGAAGGGCACGAGGCCTCTGGATGGTGACCTAATTCCAAGGAGGCAAAGGCACTAGCATCCCAGCCCCTCCCTGGGGCAGCCCAATGTGTAGGCCCTGACTTGTGTGGATGGGAGGGGGCTTTGGTTCTTCCAGCCTCCTGTCTGAACTTCCCCATCTGCCTGCATCTGCCTGCCTGGGGAGCTGCTGACCTTGAAGGCCTGGGGCAGCCCTGCCTCATACATTGGACCATCAGAATGTTTTTTTTTTTTTTTTTTTTTTTTTGAGACAGGGTCTTGCTCTGTTGCCCAGGCTGGGGTGCAGTGGTACAATCTCGGCACATTGCAAAGTCTGCCTCTTCCACCTCCCAGGTTCAAGTGATTCTCTTGCCCCAGCCTCCTGAGTAGCTGGACTACAGGCACCTGCCACCATGCCTGGCTAATTTTTAGTAGAGACAGGGTTTCACCATGTTGGCCAGGCTGGTCTCGAACTCCTGACCTCACGTGATCTGCCTGCCCGGGCCTCCCAAAGTGCTGGGATTACAGGCCTGAGCCATGGCACCTGGCCCATCAGAACCTTCTTACTGAGAACTTAATAACCAGGAGCCAGGCCTAGCACCAGGCAAGAGCTACCGGATTTAAGAAAGACCTGCAGCCTCAATGGGCTCCAGCCTAGAGGAAGGTACACACACAATACAGCACTGGAGGCCGGGTGTGCTGCAAGAGGAGCTACAGTGGATGCAGCCTGTGGGCAGCCTGTGGACAGCCTGGGGCCATGATTCATGGTTGGCCAGGTAGCTGGCAAGGACGTAGACCAGGCAGGTGAGCCCAAGCAGGACTTTCTAAAACAAGTAGGAAGCTACAGCAAGGGCCAAGTGGCTCAGGCGCAGAAAAGAAACAGCCACTTGCAAAGGTGTGGGTTTTCTGGTGTCTAACGTAGGTCCATCCCGCGTTTCACAGAAGGCCCTGACACTGGGACTACACGGAGCAGAAAGTGGCACCATCTTTGCCTCAGGCACCTCAATCTCCTTGGGGATTGGGGGCACTTTCAGAAGTCACCCGGACTCTTCCCTCCCACCCCCCGCCCTGTCGCTGCGGGGTGCCGTGGGGGGTGAGGACTGAGGTCTGTCGCTTGCCCTACAAGCAGCAGACTGTGCCCTCCACAGCCGCACCACGCCCTCCCTGCCCTCAGGTCACCCAAGGTGACCTCACAGCGACGCGGGTGCTCGCAAGTCTTCCCGGCAGGGTGGGCGGTCCCTGCGGCCCAGGCATGCAGCGGCCGCTCGCTCTGCACTCGCAGGCTCCGTGCCAGCCATGCCTTCACGGCCAAGCGGCCACCTGCCGAGTGTGTTCCCGTCACGCCGGCAGGAGGCGTGGGGCCAGGTGGCTCGGCCTTTGTCCTCTTCCTCCCGCGGGCCTCGCGCGGGTGGAGGTGAGAGGGGTGCAGGCTTGTTACCCTGTCTGAGGGTCACAGGGGCTTTCCTGCCAAGGCCGCATCCGCGAGGCAGGGTGTGTCCAGCAGGGCACCAGCTGTTAGAGCCGCGGGGACCTGCAGCCTGAGTGGACAGACGGCGGGGTCGCGGGTTTTGCACACCCCCGCCCCCAGCGCGCGCGCGCACACACACACACATGCACACACACACACACACACACACACACACATACACACACACCCCACACACACAGAGCTGGGCTCACAGCGTCCTTCAGGAACACAGTTGGGGAGGGGGGACAGGAGCCGACTGGAGAACCGCATGGTCCCTGGCCTTGCTGAAAGGTGCTGTGGAGGCAGCGCGCGAGCCAGACTGGCAGGATGAGCTGGAGCTGGGGCTGGCGGGAGGGATGGGGAGGAAGTGGGGTGAGCTAGGGACCCTCATGTCCGTGGGGCGGGGGCGGGGTGTGCAGGAATGAGTGCCTGGTGCATGCCGTGTCCCCAGCTCTCAAGCGTGCTGGAGAAACCACAGGCGGGCTGGAATTTTGGAAACCAATGTTAACCAGGACTTCAGGGACGTGCCGTGGTTGCTGTCCCTTGCCTTGCCTTGCCTTGCCGTGCCAGCACCGCAAATGTTCCAGTGTTCTGTAGGGGGTCATTAAATCACCCTGAGTCCATACAACAACACTGCAAGGGAGAGACTATTATGCCCGGCTTATGCACGAGGAGTCCGAGGCTCAAAGGTTAATTCACAGATCCAAGGTCTGAGAGCCAGTCAATAGAAGAGGCAGGATTTGAACCTGACCCTCTGTGACTTCCAGCCCGCATCCTTCCACCCTCCTGGGTCCCACTGCAGCTCACCTTGCTTGGAGCCCCTCGAGTCCCCGCTCCCTGGCCTGCACAGCCTACGGGGCAGAGTGGCACCCTCGAGCAGCTCTGGAGGCCCTGCTGGGCCTGCCCGCCACTGACCCTCACCAGGATGCAGGGCCTTCATCTCGGTTTTCCTTCTGGGAAGTAGGGCTGGAGAAGGGTAGGCCCATCCCTTTCCAGGGCAGTGTTTCCGAACTGCAGGCTAAATTCACCCATGTTATAAAAGCAATTTCAGGGATTGAGACCATCATTAAAAAAAAAAAAAAGGACAGGATAGAAGATAAAAATTAGAGTGCCTTCCACAAGCCAAGGGTAGGTTAGGTTTGGAGAAATTCTTCTGCGTGTGTGTACCGAGTTGTAATTTAAAATGGGTCATGGCTCTGCTCTGCGGGAGGCAGACACCGTAGAGCCACGGCCTGGCCCCTGGGGTAGGACGAAGAAGCCTCCATCCTCAATAGGTGCCCTGGGCAGCTGTTTGTTTTCACTCTTTGCTGGGGGTGCCAAGAAGAGGCCTGTGACCCAGGAGAGGTGGGCAGTGGTGTGACTGTGGACTTCTTAATCCTGTGCCTCTGGGCACAGGATTCCCGTGCAGGTGTTACTGGCAGGAGCTTTGGTTGTTGGCTCCTGGAGCCCACCAGCCCCAACTCCACCCATTCATACACCCCCTACTCTCTCATGCTTATTCATGCCTTGGCTGGAATGTCCTTTCTCTGTCCACCCACAGACCCCATGGCAACCTTCAAAAATATTAAGAGGTATCTGTCTCTGGAAGTATTCCCAATATTGCATGCTGACTTCAGCTCCTTCCCTTAGATCCCACAGGATCTTGTACCAAGGGCTCTTTATTGTGATTCTTCAGGTAGAATTACTTTTCCTCCACCAAACTTACCTGGCAAGAAGTGGACTTCCCTAGTCCATCTGCCCAACCCATTTCCCACCCCAGTCCACAGGTCAGTTCTGGAGCTACTCAAAAGGTGCTGCTGCCACCTGCATAAACAGCCCTTCCCTCTCTCCCTGCCTCCACACATGCGCAGAGAAGCTTCCCTCTTTCCTATGGAGCCAGAGCACCTGCTTAGAAATGGCAAGAGCCTTCCTTGGCAGGAAGCTCTGCCCAGCACTCTCTGGCTGTGGGTTTGGCCAGGTTGGAGTGCTGGACCCCGAAGGCAGGGGCTGCGAGGACTGGCACTGATAATGTGCCCATGGAGCCAGGGCTTAACAGCTGCCCTGCCAGTCCTGGAGGGCATCCGGAGCTCTCCTGCGGCTGCCAGGCTGCCTGCCGGGCCTGCCTTTGTCATGTCCTTCTGCAGTCTGGGCTCAGGCCCCTACTCACAGTGTGGAGCCGCCCTTAGGGTTCTGGCCCGGTGCCAGGCACTGGGGAGCGGCCTGCCCTGCTCTTAGGAAACCCACATCCCCAGGATGGATGCAGCTTCAGTTGTGAAAAAAGAGCAGAGTGCCAAGGGCTACAATGGAAGCCCAAAGGCAGGAGGCCCCACTCTACCTGAGGAGCAGAAAGGCTCCCGGGAAAGCCAGCTCTAGGAGCCCATGGCCCCCAAGACCACAAGCTCACCAGCCTCCATTCAGCTCTGGT